TATGTATATATATAGCAATTCATTTGAAACTTCTCTATATATATAGCATATATAGCACTACATCGACATAATTGAGCTCAGTATACTCTAGCAATATGTACACAATGAATAACATGATAGATTACATGTAATATTTTTCGTGTTTCATATCAGGTCATGATGAAAATTAGAAAGAATAACAGTGAACGGATGGAGAAAATAAGAATAGAGCAAAATACTAACAGAAGATGATGTATCAGATTAGGAGTGATAAAATACTCCACTGATAGAACATATGGAATCAAATGAGACGTTCGAAAGAAGCCGAAAACAAGTTATAGAATTTTCTTGCACCTCACTAGAATCCAGTATTGCTTCATGCCAGTAGTAATTTCAACCTGCCTATCGTAAATGCTCAGTTTGGCATTTCCCATCCCTCACTGCAACTAGTAGTTAGGATACGAAAGAAATGATGTAATGTTCACTCAACAAACAAACCAACCAGTTGGACCATATGTCTTGTTATAAATCTCCCGAATGGGTAATGATGGAGAATTACTGGGAAAATTTCTCTTTTGCAACATTACTGGTCTTTACACCACCCTCCTAATTATAAAATTTTTATGCAAATGATTTGGAAATCCTGCTGATTTGATACAAATCATGATGCCATTGAATTTTTCGAATGCTGTTAGTTATTTTGCACAGCTTCACGCTGAATAAATCTCTTCGTTCACTGTATAAGCACATCAGATAGTACCTGAGAAGTGTCGAAACACTTTCATCACTACAACACTAAGTAACAATACTTGTACACAATTCTTGAAAAAAGATCTAAAATGAATAGGTTGAGATGTCTTCACATATGCGATCAAGATATATGTAAATTAGAAATAAAACATTGTGCAACTATACAGTATAAGTTATTTTTCACTAGTAAATTAAAATTCCATAAGGCATATGTGCACAACACATATTTCGGAACAGTGCAGTAGAGTTTATCTTGAAATCTTTCTGACAGGTAAGTGGTATCAAAATTAGTATATATCTAGAGTGTAAAGAATGAAATGCGTATTTTTTATAACGAATTCTGAGAGAAAAAAAAATACTATTAGTGTATGCATGAATTTATGATGTCCAGAGTTTTTAGAATTTTATAATTAAAAATGACTGGAAATGACAAAGTTCACCTGATTCCTTCGCTTCTATATAAGAGAGGGATGAAATAAGTACGTTGCAATGATTATTTAATTAACTGAAGCAACATGAGGAAATATGGCAGAACGAGAACCATCTGCATATCGAAGTGACTGAATACAAGTCATGCATACATAGTGTTCTTCTTGCATTTCTGGTGATAACGAGTACCACGAATAGATTCCATATGCTAAATATTTAAAATATCAAGCTTTTTCACATAATTCGCACTTGCCATTTTTGAGAATTTTTTATGTGAATAATTGTTATTTTAATTTAACGCACTTATTCAAAATAATTGAAAGTAAACCTGTACAATGCTATTGATATTGCTCAGGTTTCCTAAAAAGTACTGCAGATGTTGCTCCACCTTCTATTTTCAGATCTTTCAAAAATGATCCCTGTCCTGAAAAATGAACCTCCAAATATTTTACTGTATCGAAAAATTTTATGTTTATGTCTGCTGTTTCGTTGACGTTGGAAAGCTAACAAATAAATGAGCTCTTTTTCAAGCAAAAAAATTTAATAGTAGGAATGAGTTGATATTGATATTTCTGTAATCGACACATGCATTTTTAAAAGAAACATGATCATTTTCCTCTATTTGAAAAATGAGCTGACAATTAGTAAATCTAATTAAAAAGTTCATCTGAATGGGTAATAGCTTTCAGTCCACTAGTAGTTTCATAACTGATTTCAGACTCTAACACTGCTGACTTCAAATAGCATCGTTTTTGTGTTTTGTTACAGGTGTAACCAAGGCAGCAATGATTTTTAACGCAGTTTATGCAACATTTCTAAGATGATTCATCATTTATTCTAAGCAGTTTCATGCTTCATTTAAGAAATGCAGCTTCATCAAATTCACTGACCGAAAAAAATGTCAGCTACACGTTTTTCCTTCCATAAATTTGTTTGTTGCTTTTATTTCTACATTTTGAATCCTTAGTCAAAAAAGAGAGCAGTCACTACAACATCTGAATGTTCATCCTTCTAAATTTATGTTGGGCATCACCATCACCTTAATATCATTTGCGCTAAATTCATAGCATGTCCCACCACTCAGTGCAATATTTGGAAGACAGAAGCATTTCGGTGCTTAAAAATAGTCATTTTTAGGAAGTAATATGATTTCGCTGAATGGAAGAATGAATTAGATACAATTAAATTCATAAGACGTGTTACAGAGCAAATTCAAAAAAGCTTATTTCGATATGATATAAGTTTATAATTCAAAATTTAGTTTATACCCTCAAATTCTAGTTGATGAAAATTATCAGTGTTTCATTTATGGGTTTAGAAAATTGTACTTGTTTCTTCAATCGCTAAAAGTTAAAAAATATAGAGAGATATTTTTTGATGACAAGTTTCCTAAAAAATGGATAGTAGCATTGATAAGCGTTTTACAGATGAAATAAAATAATTTATTCACAAAGCTGTATTCTACATCATGTGAAAACCAAATCAAAACTACTTACTAACTGTGCAACGCGAACAAATAAGCAAAAAATGAGTGCTTCTAAAATCATGCTGATGAAAATTGGTAGTAATCTAATTACATAATTGCAGCTTTTGCTTTTCATCTACTTATTTCACTGTTGCCAATGGAAGAAGTTATTTCGATTGCCTCGACAATAAAGTTTGAAACTGATGAAAAAAAAATAATCTTAAATAATCCTTGATGTATTTGATCAAGGATAGTTTAAAATGAAAATTCTCATGTTTTATATATGCAAATGTGATCTAGAGTTTCCATAAAACAATAATGGTTCATATACTTTGTGTTATAAGATAATGTCACTTATAAAATGAAATTTTAACAAAAAATGAGCTGTGAAAGTTGAAATTTCAAAGAGAGAAGAGTGAAAAATTGGCAAAGAGATTTGTTAGATAAGCAAATCTGAATCAATAATATATAGAAGACAATAACATGTGAGCATTTAATATTTACTTGTCAACAACAACGGGTTAAAAGCTTTCCCTTGACATATATTTGACACAGATTTGTAACAACAGACACAAACATTTCGACTCATTTGATTTTGACTGCTATATAAATATATAATGAAACCGAATCAATATCAAACAGAGATTATTCTTCTTTTCTTAATTATTGATTCTGGCGTTGGATCGTATTCTGGCATTCTCGCTGCACTTGCCCTGCGCTCAGTTCTGCTGTGCTGATCTCCGCTGCTTCGTCCTCGTCGAATCCACGACGCTGATCGAATGAGATGCTTTCGAGCGTTTTCTTGAATACTATCGATTGGACATATGCCTCAGTGTGACGAATACATTGATTTCCTTCAGGTAAAGTTTATGGAAGTTTACTATCCCATCCCAAGCCATCACTTACGGAATTCCTTATGTATATTATATATAGGTAGATGGATAGATAAGTAAGCAGAGAAGAACGAGTCACTAAAAGCTAGCAAGTGCTCATTTTCTTTATTTTCAATTATGCTTAATGTAATCAATCCGCAGTCCACCTAACTACCTACGTACGTTAGTTTTCTACCATATTTCTTACGTGCTTTAGTTTTCTACGATAGGCAGTCATGATTTAACATTTTCTCGCGCTGTGTTGCTAGATGGTCCACCGTCTTCACACATAACCTACAAATGTGGGCTCATACTTTTCTCAGCTCCAAAAATATTTCTGTCTTGGAGGTGACAATATTGTGCTTCACCTTACGGGTTAATTTTTCCGTATCGTGACCACATTGATGAAATCTGCGAATTGTGGCTAGACAATTACTTTGCATCTTATATAGCTTTGCATGACGAATTTTCTTTTGTATTTCGCTATACAAGAGCGCTTTCTGATCTGTTAATACGTTTTCGACGGTTGGATTTTTTACAAGGTTGTATCTAGTCTGAAGGTAGGGCACAATGAGTACTTAGTACGTGTTCTGAGTCTTTTCTTGCTTTAACATTGCCGTCTTCCTGGTAGAAATGGGCGCATTTTTTACAAGTACGTCATGAATTGTAGAAGCATGAGCTCACTTCTTTGTTCAACGCGGTGAAGCCCACAACCTAGCTCGTCCCTTAGCAGGTACAGTCTCTCCACAGATGCAGGTTGGCTGTGAATTCCGTATCATGGTTTTATTACTTACCCAAGTTTGAGGTAATTGTGGGCGAAAGATTGTGCCTGATCTTGGATGCAACACAACATTTTCTCGTAATTTTGGTTTATATTCTTTTCTCTGCTCTATTTTGGTCTATTATGGCGATGTCATGGTGTGACGATGAAAGTAAATGGCAGAAATACCATTACGATCAGTTGCGACAACAGACGTAATGGTATCGACAGTCAGCGACGCCAAAATGGTGGAACTGGTAATAATACAAGAGAATATTCCAGAATTCAAATAGACCAGTTATCTAGTTGCTGGGAACGATCTTTGATGAACCGTCCTAACGAAGAACAACCTGTCAGTCACAATGTAGGGACAGAAGAAATCAGAGAGTTCTGGGCTACGATGTGGAACTCGAAAATGGAAGAAGACGATGACAGTCGACACAATGAATATCTGGAATAACTCGTTCCAGACTCCAAAGTACATGATACTTTCCCATCTGAAGCCGAATTAGGGAAGACAGTTTCCTGTTTGTCCAACTGGAAGGCGACGAGCCCGGATGAAATCTACAACTTCTTCATTAAAAAGTGCATCTTATTACATACAGATCTGTACAAAATAACTGCGGATATGCTTGGACGGGGAAGAGCAGGATCCATGGTTCTACAAAGGCACGACGTGTCTGATTTCTAAAAATGTCCCAAACAGTGAATTCAGGCCAATAACTGCATGTCAAACCTTTACAAGTTGATAAAGAAATGTGTGGCAAGAGTCATATAATTAGATATTGCCACGATAAGACTACTTGCAGACAACCAATTAGGAATTGTTGCCCAGGTTCAAGGTGCAAAAGAGCAGGCACTCTTGAACCTGGGACTTCGCAGAGAGCACGGAAACCAGGTTTATACTACGTGGTATGATATCAAAAAAGTGTTCGATTCAGTTAATCATGAATACCTGATTAAGTGCATGGGGCTTAACATGCCATCGTGGATCAGTAGGTTTCTGAAAATCATTACATCTAGATGGGCAGTTGTACTGAAAAACAATGGAGAAAAAAATACAACGAGGAATTCTCCAGGGTGATAGTCTTTCTCCGCTGCTATTTGTTTTGTGCACGGACCCTTTGAGTCGTTGACTCAACATGGGGTACTCAAAATTAGCGGTTCCAACTGGCAGGGAATGCAATAACGAACCATCTCTTCTTTGAGTTTTCAAGATTTTTGCGACTGACGAGGATATAATAAAGTTTATGGCTGAAGAAATTGAGAAGTTTCTTAAATGTAGTAGGACTAGCAGTGAATCTAGCAAAGTCAGCCACTAACACCGAGGTATGCGCTGATAAAGCGGCGCTATTGAAAGAAACTCAAGAGTATGAATACCTTGTAATAATGGAAGACAGGACTAGTGCACTCACCCGTGAAAGCTACGATAAAGTCCATGCAGAGATTTTAGTGAGAGTTAACTGATTAGCCAAAACTGCACTAAATGGCAAGAACATTATCAAGACAGTAAACGAGCATGCCATAAGTTTAATGAACTATTAAACTGTGGTGTTCAAATTGGAATCAGAAGTTCAAAGGTATAGACCACAATATCAGAAAGTTTCTAAATAAATATAGAATTGATAATCAATCAGCATGCTTAGAGAGACTGTACCTGTCAAAAAACGAGCTAGGACATAGACTTTTATAAAGTTGAACAGAGGAGTGAGATTATGCTTCTCCAACTACATAAATTATGCTACTCATACTTTATAATGTTCTTGGTTCTTGTAGGTACCGCGCTCATATCTACCAAAAGAGCAGCGATTTTGAGGCAGGAGAAAGCTCATAACACGTGCTTAGCAATTAATGTACTTTATCTAAAGACTAAGTACAACCTCGCAGAAAATCCTACCGTTGAAAAC